TAATATATAAAAGAGTGAAATAGCATTAACAACAGACTGAAAATATTTAAATCTGCCATTAACAGACATTAAATTGACTTCCAGAGGAGTCTCAAAATGCCAGAGAACACAAAATGTCCATGAGAAGGACCCCACTTATCTAGTTCTGCCACTGAGGGTGTCGCAAGCAACTACTCCTTATGCCAACATCCCAATCTGCTGGTAAGATAGACACGATGTCATATAAAGTAAAGACTATGGGATTGTATCTAATCCTCTCTATTCTGAAATGGTAGGAAATATTGACGATTTTGCAGTGTAGTGTAATTTACACATCAACAATGTTTCTATTAGATTAACCAGTCTTACACTAGTATCGTTTTTAATAAGGATCAAAGTATTCAATAGTTAAACAAGTTTTAAGTATTTTTAATACTGATGTCATACTATGCCCTTGATTTAGAAAATGTCAATAGCTGTCATGGTTGATATTATTAAGCGAACTCGCTGCATAGATTGCACAGTTTTGGTACCCATTTAAGTTAGAAACCCTGCCTATGAGCGCATGCATGGAGCAGTGCCATCCTAGGTATCTTAAGTAATCATCTCAATCAGTCCAGTAATATTGGTCTTCAAAAGTTTTGTATGATGTTAGATTTAGACCTCCTACTTTCATTTCCTCTCTTTAATATCAGTGGATCACGACGTTTAGCCTTTGAATACCAGTAAAGACTTACAAAGACACACTTTAGGTTTATACATTTGTAGAACATTCTGCTTCGCGCGTTTATGCTCTTCTTTGATTCCACCACCAAACGATTATTGAACGATCTTTCGTCATTTGGAAATCGAAATAGTGAAAGCTGTTCCCGCTTTCTTGGAAATACATCTCGTACTGCACACTGTCTACAATGACCCAGCCAGGTGCAAGAAAGTAGAACGTAAAGCTTCGATCCATTCATTCCATGTGCATGATCTATGAATTATGTATAGCTTTAATTGTATCACTGTTAACAGTGAAAACACGAAGTTTTATGTTCGGCACAACTCGTCATAATGTAACTATAATTTACCTATAATAATTACCAGAGTTTATCGACGTAACAACTATATATTTATATAGCGGTGATAGTAGCACGATCTGCTAGAGACAAGATACACTAGTTGACAGGCTGGATGGCAGGCCATATACAATAGCTGTCTCTGACAATACTAGAGAATAGATGAGGCAGTGACAAGCTCACGACAACTAGAACTGCTATTTATCTACTTTTATATATAACAATGTACAGTGCGTGTATAGAGCATAATAACGGGATATATATAATGTAGATACTGATGTATGTCTACCTGTTCGTTTTGTGTTAGTAGAGAAACTTATATCTACACGATCTTGCTTGAATTAAAAGTGTCGCCGTCAACAAATAAATGTCACTTTTCTCACGTCGTCAATTTTTACCTTATTTCAATATTTGGATTGCTTTACGTGTGTTGACATCCGTTTTCTAATGTGTAAGGAATTTGTGTAGATTTGATTTGGAATAATGAAGTTTTATAAAGTTTATGAATTGGATTAAAACTTTTGTCTACGCTTCACTGCATATTGAAATAGGTATTTATGCATAACTTCAACTTTCATTTATACGTGTCGCACTTTTATTACGTTTAATAAAATGGCTAGTTCAAGGTGAAAGATTTAACACTTTTCTTGTATGTCCGACTTCCATAAATGTGTGTGTGGTCGTTCATACGTTCCTACTGCTGTGGTGTCTGCTACGAAGCGGCTTTGGCGATATTTAATTGAAATCCAAGTAGTTTTGTGAACACATTATATTCTCTCAAACTACTATATCAATGCCTGCTTAATCGTTGCAAAGGTCAGGTTGCAAACTGTAAAACTTATAACATGTGATTAGCAGATTGGTGACGTATTTTAGATGGAATACAATAGAGTGCTAAGCACCCTATAAATCCGTTATTAATGAGTCTTATTGCGATTATTCAAGACACAGATATAAAGAATATAATAAACCCCAACTGGTAAATCATCTTATATCATACTTACCTGTTACTTTTGAAATCATATTGCAACGTCTAGTAATTTTGGAATTGTTTTATACCTTTATGAACTGGTTCGGAACATTTTGCATTTAATGCACCCATTTTTTAACCTCTGAAAACACATATCACTTCAGCTTATAGAGCTACATTGTAACTGCAACATTTTAATTCTCGGAGTATTTTTGTACCTATGCTCAAAGTTTGGAATAATATTACATCTGTTACCAGGGAAATTATATTGTAATACAGTTGTAACATCTACAATAGCATCTAACAAAATTGTAACGCCGGAATTATATTGTAACTGGTTGACCTTTTCTGTAACGTCTGGCATAACATTGTAACAGTCCTAACTAGATATACCAGGTCATTCTCTCTAGTGTGTCATTGTTAGTAGTTACTCCCATTTCTTGACAGTTTTATACGTTCGTATGTGAACTATCAAAACACTTTTATGTACCTTTTATGTATATATAAAACTCGCTCTGTTAGTAGGAAATATGTACTTACAATATGCTGAATTTGCATTTTAAAATTACATGCATGCACAATTCAAACCATTAACGAAAAGAGGCAAAGGTGTTTGAATAATAACTGTATATTGTCGAAACGTTTAATTATCGTGCGACATATTGCATTGATTGAGTTTATATTATGAAGGGTTAGATTACCGTGACATATGATATGATATATTAAATGGAAAACAAGTGTTCATATTGATGTATTTTCACTCAATTCAGATTATTGGAATATACCACATAGTTGTTAAGGAACATTTAAAACATGAATGAGGTGTTATTGAAGTCTATACGCAGTGCTCGTCGTGATTATAGATTTAACGAAGAATTAAATGTGATTGAAAATGGTATATGGTGAACCATACAGCTTATATTATAGTGCTACCTCAGATTTATAATCTTCTATAACAATATCTAATACTGTTTTGAATTGCTAATGAAAGTGTTTGTGGAAAAGTGATTAAAATATCTATATAGCAATTAGTTACAGAATTGAATGTAACTGTTGGAAAGAGTTTAGCAATTTTTTTAAAAGTTTAAAATATCTGTACCCGGAATGCAAGATGTGACTTTAGTAGAATTAGTAATTCCTGAGTCTTAAAGTGCCAAGGAGTAAGACAATGGTAGATATCGAGGCATTATTGATTCCAGTTATTTATTTATTGTTTAATTAGTTTTATAGATAAATATGTAAACAACAGTCTGAGGTAATTAACGTCTATATGTCCTTGTTTATAACTAGCCGTTATAAGAGTTATTACATAGAGTTATTAATTATAATTTACACCTAATAGTCATAATAACAAACTGTGAAACATACATTTATTTTTGGAAATTGGAGATACGCGAATGACGTAGGCTATTGTTCTTCCTGATATTCGAGACATACGAAGTACGCAATAAGGTCTATATTTTTTTCTGAATATTAGAGATACGTACAGGACTCCCAATAAGCTCTATAGTTTTCTGGATATTGGGACCACGTGAAGGATTCAATAAGGTTTATATTTTGTTGTGTATATATGACACATATCGTCTGGTTATTGGACAATTGGTACAGATTAGTACCACCGTATTGGAATTAGAGTGGATTTCGTGCAATTTAAGTTAATACAATTGTATGTGTCCTGAAATTTTCCGAAATTTTATTCAAAACGTTCAGGATTTTCAATGAACTGCTAGAAACTTACAGTGAGATATCAACCTTGTGTGTCTTTAAAGTTTCATATTGCAACATCAACAGATATTCTCTGCCAAACAGTGGATAGAATAGGTAAACTACAGTACAGTACCATTAAAGTTCTTCATTATCTTACGGTGATTCAGAAATTTTGAAGTTGAACCTCTAGCCTGATTACCTGATTACCAGAGCAATTCCCGAATCTTCCAGATTTTTGCGAAATTCTAACAGTTCTAGCCATAATTTTGGTTGAACGTTGACCTAACCTGATTTATAATGGAACTGTAAAGACTAAAAAAGGATCAGTGTACTTGGCGGTATATAAACTGTAAACATTACTCAAGTGGTTCAAGAAGGAACTTAGAGATAAGGTGAAGTGTCAACAATCGATGATTATTTATTAAAAATCAATGGTTGAAAGGGGATAAACTATATTTCAATATCAGTCACAGGCTGTGTATTATTGAATTTTAAAATAATTGCTTATATTGTTTATAGTGGAATATTATATACTTAATTACTCTTCAATCCATTTATTATTATCATTTTACCATTTAACGTTTATTTTATGAAATAGAGAGGCTCACTGACTGTGGTGTATTTCAACAAACGATAGTATGCAGTAACCAATATCGGAAGTGGTGGTGTAGATTTTAAGGATCTGTGAACTATTTTTGTGGATTTCGAGTTGGGACTGTCTTTTTATCGAAAATGACCTTAGAACCTAATATTATTGGTTAAGGTGGACGGGAACGTGGTTTTGAAGGTGGGCGGCCACATAAGGCAATTCAAAACGTTTCATGCCTATACCATCATTTAATATTTGCTGTTTTTAAACATTTTTGCATTTTTCCAGAATATTTTGGAGTATTTCTGTGTTGTTTTTTCTCTAAGAATTTTGGAATTTTATCTATATTTTTTACTTTTTACATATTTTCTCTTTCGTGTTTAAAATTTGGATTTAAATCCGTGTTCATATTTTTGGATTTTACTTCATTCCTATATTTTTTAAATATTTTTTAATATTTATCTTATCGTTGTGCCGAGATTTTCTTCCTAAATTCCATTTTTTCTCATCCCACTTCGGATTGATTGTTATTTGTTATTCTAGCGAAGTGGATACTGAACATTGTTGAACTTGTTTCATTCTTTTGAACTTGTTTATTATTTTTGCTGATCAAAGGCGTTTGTCATTGAATCGTGGAACAGTGGCGATTGTAACATTACAGTTGAAAGGTTTCAAACCAATGTTGCCTAACACAATGCAAAAGGGTATAAGAATAAACGATGGCCAACTGCTGTATCTGGCAGGGAAGGCCAAACAAGAAAACACAATCTGTGGATATCTTTATAAGAAAAGTTCGGACACTGGAAAGTGGCAATTGAGATATTTTATACTGTACCAGAACTTTCTGTTTTATTTTGAGAATGACACTGCTACCAGACCATCTGGTGTGGCTATCCTAGAGGGTAGTTATTGTGACAGAGCTATTACATCGACTACAGCAAGTAAAGGCAAAGATCTGGATAAACAGGTCAGTGAACATTTTATCTTTTTGTTCAGTTGTTTATTTTACTATTTATTCATATGCATAACAAACGTTAGTTACTATTACCAATATATTTCAAAAGTATTCTACTGAAGAGAAAAATATGATAACAATCTAATTATGTTCTACAACTATTTATATATATATTATACGCTATTCACTATCACATTGGGCTAACAGCAAGTATATCGTAAAATAGAAAAAAAACATATATGCTACCAAAGCAAATGGTCTTCTCTTTTTTTAGATTTTATTACACATTCATTTACAGATACAGCATCATAAGTCACTATCATAAATATGGCAGTGTTGGCTTCCGCGTATTAAAATAGGCAATTCAAAACTTTATTGCAGAAACACTTAGGATTACAGAGAAATAACATGTAAATCGTGTCACATCCTTAAGCATTAGATTCAGCTTAAAGGGATTGTAAAGAGGTTTTCTTAAAAAAAGATTCACTTTGCATTATTACAATTTTTTGTAGAATTGCAGAAACCACAGATGTCTGATTGAAAATTTGAATGGTGCATATTGATTATCAGTGTCCCAGATACACATAAAAATTCAGAAAATATTTTATCAATCCCTTTAAATTGATGTAGTCAAAACATGAAAATATTACAATTAACTTAAGAAGAATTTAAATAAGAAACCATAGGGCCACATAAGTATACATGCAATAATACATCTGCAAATGCAATGATCTTTGGAAGGATTTCATTTTGACTACCAATGTTATACCACACTAGCATATATATGTACATGAATCTACCATTGTTGCTTTAAACGTGCGCACTTAATAAAATAATCGTTAGCAATCAGGTTTATTAAAACATGACTAGTAGAAAATGAAAGCTTCTATTGTAATTCTACACTCAAACGAATAGATCAGTAGAAAAAGCATATGCACCACTTCCAATAACCTCGAGCAGCAATTAGCGGTATAGTGCTATATTGACACAACATGAAAACATACAACACAAATCATAAAATCATTCATCAATGAAAATTACCTATTAATAAATATTAGATATACACTACCCACACAATGATGGTCTATAAAACCATTTGTTAGACTGATCCACCATCATAGCCAATCCTGTAACAGCTGGTAAGTCATCGTGGTCTGACCGAGTGGACAATAGCCATTTTCATTCAGTCATTGAACTGATAGCCAATGCAAGACAAATGTCTAGGCATTTTCGCAATTTTGTGTTCATTTTAACATATAACTAATCCATTAGGTCTTTACCTATGAAAAAGCGAATATTACATAATTACATAAGGGACCGTGTGTGATATTTTGGAACTGCTAAATATCGTCTTTGAGTCGTATAATGTAAATTGTATAAAATATACAATTCTTATTATAACATACCCCATAGCTGAGTAGATGAAAAGGGTTTTGATGCTGAATATTGAATATTTGAACTAGAATACGTGAAAAACAAAACCTTAACCACAATATGCTCCTAGTTGGTGAGTTGGCAAACCCCACACACAAAGTACGCTGCTGTCATCAGGTAATGAACCTTACAAGTGATTATTTAATCTTACTGTGTACTCAGTTATCATCAGAAGATACCTGCTGGTTTCATGAGTAACATCTTCCAATGTTATTTAGTGCTGTAAATATACCGTGATTGAGTCACTGGTAAGCAATGTCTCCAGCCAGTCTTTTAATAGATATTTATGTTTGTTACAGTAGCGTAGTCTCACTTAATGGATGGGCCATAAGGCCAAACCTCAATCCCACGGACCTTGAAAAGTCAATGGACACTTTTTTGGCTTTATTCTCAGACATTTTATTGGATACGACCCTCGTTTGTTATAATATTGTGTGTGTTCGTAGAAGTTTATTTTTATTATGATATATATCATAAATACTTAAGTAATGCATACCATTTGTAATATGGAGATTTATACAAGTTTTTACCCACGCTTTGTGTCTTTCTCAATGGGTCACTGCAACCGTAACTGACTGGTCCAGACAGCCAAAAATCAAGGTTACTTCATTCTATATAAAAGAGTTAAATACAGCTAGTTTTAATTAGGCCAGATCCTCTTCAAGCCTTTCTTTACAGTAATATCAAGGAGGTTGTCCGTCATGTTATTTCTTTCCAGTTTTCTTTTTTGTCCCATCTGACTATAAAGAGGTTTGTTTACTTTCTTAAAATAGACCAAGCTTCTATTATATAAACTTGATAAACCTGAACTTCGTATACATCATTACCTTCATTCATTAAGTAGTGTACATCAACTCAATATTATTAGCTATGTGGATTGCCCGGGTTGAGTTGATAATCCTAAAAATCAACTCAATATTGTTAGCTATGTGAATTGTCCGGGTTGAGTTGACAATACTAAAAATCAACTCAATATTATTAGCTATGTGAATTGTCCGAGTTGAGTTGACAATCCTAAAATCAACTCAATATTATTAGCTATGTGGATTGTCCGGGTTGAGTTGATAATATTAAAATCAACTCAATATTATTAGCTATGTGGATTGTCCGGCTTGACCGGGTTGAGTTGAAAATCCTAAAGATCAACAAAATATTATTAGCTATGTGGATTGTCCGGGTTGACCGGGTTGAGTTGATAATCCTAAAAATCAAAGAAATATTATTAGCTGTGAAGATTGTTCGGATTGAGTTGACAATACTAAAAATAAAATCATTAATTTTAGTTGAGTTGACAACCTTAAAATTTAACACTGGCCGGGTTGAGTTGACAATCACAAATGCTGTATCAACCGAACATCATGAGCGATTTGGAGATGGTAAGCAAGCCGTTCAGGTGTTCACCATGTTAGTCTTATTCATATCAACTTCTTAAGAGGAACTTTCTATCAGCAACTTTCAGAAAACCTTGGTAAAGTATTTCGAAACGATCGTAGCGCTAGGATATACAAGAAACAGTGCCTTCAATTAAAACCTTAGGACATCTTAGCGGTAAGGTGGATTAGAGAATACGTGTCCAGAATTATCTTTGATTGGAAGTTAAAAAAGACGAGTCGTCTTTACTTGAGAGACTGACATATAAGGAAACAGCATCTATAAAAATAGAAATTGCTAGTTTGAAATATTTTTGAAGGAATTTTTTAAGTACATTTCCAGTACATGTACTTCTGAAGACTATTTGCATAGATTCAAGACTCAAATCAACCCCCACAATGGTGCATCTATCCCTTTAACATCGCGATCAGCTTCATTTCAGCAACTACTAGAAGTCGCCATCTTCAGACATCAACAACTGGATGGTTAGATTTCTGAAATTGAAAACTGTTTTGTCCCAAACCATGTCATCGTTAATTGAAAACATTCCTATGTGATTTGCATATTTTCTGAAGCAGTCATCTGCATCATTCAATTAGTGGAATATTTCATTCATTGATCTCGGTATCTCAATATCATTATTTACTGTTCTATATAGTTTGACATTCTACGGTAGCTCAGTCAGGACAAAGTCGTCATGGTTGTAAGCGATCGACAACGAATGGTAAACGTTAACCAAAAGAATGTTTTGAAATGTATCAGGTATTGGACTCTGTTGGTTGGTCTGTTTAAACCAATTAGTTGCACCCTCTCTCAATATGTTTGTGTTGCTGGACATGTTCTGTTTACGCTGGACGCTCCAGTAGTTGGTCGAATTGTCATAAAGATTGCACCTTCTCTCAATATGTTTGTATTGCTGAAACACGTCCTGATCAAGCTGGACGCTCCGCTCGAAGTGTCACGTCATTCATCATTGTTTTCATCTCTAAACGACAGTTGTCCTTGTGTCTTAAATACTCCACCGTAATAGTACAATTGAATACCGACTCGGTAATTAGGTCATTTCTCACTACCAGTAACATATGGTATAATATCATTCATTCATTAATTATTCATTATTCATACACTTCATATCAATTATTTTACTGATCATATTGAGAATAATATACCACAGTCGAGCATTAAACTGGGCTATTAGTTTAACCAGGAAAAGACGGGTCAAGCGATTAGATTCAGACGGACAGATAGCGAATAGTAAGCCTGAGCCCTGGAGGATGTTCTCGGAATCTTTACGGACCAGTAGATAGCAATAGATAAACTCCGGATCTTTATTTTTGAAAATTAAACTAAGATAAGTCCGGATTTTAAGAAACACAGTAATCTGATTAAATATTAGAACTAATACTAAATGTCTTCCATTTAGTGATTTATTTATCAGATATATTGGGACACTAAAATCGCCTAAAAATTAAATTCATTTTTTGAGAATGTGGAACATGGTTACTATTCGGACAGTAACTGAGCAATAAGGTGTAATGATGCTGCCCTAAACCACTCATGAGTGTCACACGATTGATTTCAGTCGACATTTGGCGGCGCTCTGATAACAGAACAGGTATTGATTCTCCGGTGGTTTTTAGCAGAGTTGTTGGGTAGGGGTAGCAGATGTGTTAGGCGCCCAAAAATCCATATGACAAAAACATTTTCAACACTTCTTTATCTGGTAAAACAGAATGGACCATCAGCAAGGAAACGGGTGGTGTTCCAGTATTAGTATGAACAGTGACGTTTCTGCGTGGTACAATTCGTTATCAGAAAAGCATGTTTCCAAGTCTCATTGTTCACGTACCTATCTACACTCAACGTTTTGAATTTGAGCTTGTCTAATTGATGTCGACAGCTCTCTCTGTTCGTATAACATGCAATTGAACACAAATGGTTCATTTTAATTTGAAGTGAGGAATTTTTTTGGAAATAGAAAAGAATGAATGGAATTTTACGTCCTACTTTTCTGCACCTGATTTGGTTGAAAAAACGTACTACGCCAGGCAATGTGCAACAGGGAAATTATTTTTATTGCTCTATAGCTTATTAATAAATATAGCTTTCTAAATATTTGCACCTCTATATATACGTACATGTAATAATGGAACGATAATTAGAGATTCGCTGTACAGACAAAAATGAATAAAGGCCATGTTAAGACGACTATAACTCTTTGAAATGTTGATGCTAAAGAACAATCTTTAACCTGTAAAACTGTAACACAAGATAAGAAATGCATGGGATAATTAAACGAAGGTATAAAACTGATA